CATTTGTCATGTAAAATGGACCATAAAACATGTATCACACGACACTTTCATATTGTGACCCCCCCCCCCAGTGACCTGACCTCTGTGACCTGACCTGGTATCAGTGACCTCAAATAGCAAAATATGTGTTTGAAGAACATTTCCCCATCGATGATTTTCAATAAAATGCATTTTACTCGATTTTACAACGCATTTCTTGAAATGCCTGTAAACTGTGAAAATTCGACCTTTGACCTGACCTGTGACGTCATCGGTTTGACCTGGGTCAATAAATTTGGGTCACAAGGTAGTACCCTGATAGGGCTATCCAACACCGTTTGCCGCTTGTCGCTAGGTTGCGTGGTTCTCGAGATCTTAGGGGGGGGGGGGGCAAATTGCCCCCCCCCCCCAACGGGGCGCGCTGCTCGGCAGAGCCCAACGGGGCGCGGGTTAACGACTTTCTAACAGGTCCCGATTTTCCCGACTTCTGGGTCATTGACCTGACCTGGAAGGTCAACCGATGACCTAGGACCTTAAAATTGGGTATCATCTCATCGGCTTCTTCTTGTGACGGACAGCACGCTCGTTTTTTCCGCGAAGCTCTAGCTCTCAGAGGAGTGCAAAATAGAAATATTCCTGCTCTGTGGACCCATTGGTAAAACCTCTACTAGAAAGGTTTAGGTCTTTCAAAAGTGCTACTTCAACAAAACAGCTTTCGCGTGACACGTGCCACCATGGATGGAGCTTTTCCGGGAAAGTTGGTGGGGCAAAAAGGCATCAAACCTACACTGACCGACTGTCAAGTTAAATAAAATGAACACTGAATCAATTCCTATATTTACAAATGTAACATTTTGCATAACACAGACATTCCAAAGCTCCTCAATGATTGATTTGAAAAGCAACAAAGTCCTGCAAATCAGCTCAAGTTGGTGGGGCAAAACACTCATTGGTGGGGCAAAATGGCAAGTTAATTGCGAGGTAGAGGAAATAGGCTTCCCAACAAAAAGGGCGGCAGGTCGATCAGCCCAACCACTGCAACGGTTACTGAGGCCTGAAATACATAGGTATATGCCTCTCAAAAGCGTTACAGGCCGGGCCGGGCCGGCGCCGCTATATGTACCTAAATGCTGATATCTTTCCGTTACGAGTATCTTAAAAAGATTTCGCTTCGCTTGCGCTGTCCGTTCGCTGGTAACAATATTTCTCCTTCGTTTTAAACCTCGCCCGTATTCGTGTTTGCCAGCGTCTAATGCATAGGGGGGGATGCAAGGAGGGTCTGTTGGACCCTCCTTGCCGTTTGGCCTCTGGTGGAGCTAGAGCTTCCAGAAAAGAAAAACGAACGTGTTGCCCGCGACGAGAGTAAGCCAACGATGCCCAATTTTATGGTCTTATTTATGTCATTGGTTGACCTTCCAGGTCAGGTCAATGACCCAAAAATCGGGAAAATCAGGATTTGCCGGAAGTTCGTAAAGTGAGGCTGAAAAAGGGATTTTGCGGGGTACTGAACACGTAGTTCATGTTAGTTTTGATCACATACCTATGATGTCTTAATGTATTTAGGCCAGGTCGGGTCAGGTCAGGTCAGGTCAACCAGTAGGAGTCCTGCCGGCCGGCGGCCATCCATATCAGGTGTTGACCACCACTGACAGCTTCGTAGCATGTTACGAGGGCACCAAAACTACTTCATAAATCTTCAAATGGGAATTCGAAATCAGCTCCAGAGACTACCCTAGAAACATGTTAAACTCGAAAAAGTGAAGCAAGGTCATCAAGGTCATCAATGACCTTGACCTGACCATCACGTGACCTTGAAACCCACACCACAAAAAAGGAAATTGCGCGAATAATGTGAGCCGACATCGCCAATTCGCGATTCCGGTCGAACATGGTCTCGAGAATCAGGTCACAGGTCAAAGGTCATTTGGGTCAGGTCATGAAATTTTAGGAGTATGTGTAAAATTGATTAACTCGAGGGTACTGAGAGTTTCGTCGCGATCGGCCGCTTTTTGCGCGAGATAATCGCGAAAAACCGTGGGGGGGGGGGGGGGGGGTCCGTTCGACCCCGCTATAAGTGCGACTTGCGAGTGTTAAGTCACTAAAGATCTGTCAAAAGTAAAAAACAGGTTATTGCTCGAGATGAGAGGGCAAAGTTGTGCACTTGGAGTGCTTTAACACATCATGAACTTACATGCATACATTCTCGAATTAAACATCAATAATACCGGCTATAGGCATATTGCTCTTTGGAACGTCGCTTTCCGTATGGGGATATCATGGGTCTGAGCCAGCTGACACGGGTGACAGTTGACACCCCCTCAGTGGGGTTCTGACATGGTCTGCGTTGGATCACCCACCACTACAATGGGCGGTTCCTCACAACCAGCGTAATTGACCGGTGTGATGCGGCGACGTGAGGCACGCGCGGGACCGTCTGTCCCCACGCCGTGGCGGTCCGGGTCAGGGGAGCAGCCCCCTCCCCGCGCGGCGGGCGGTCGCCCATTCATCCGCGACCCCAGCCCCATGATTCAGGGGTTGACAGAGGGCAAACAGCACGTATTTAAACTGGGCAAACAGACGGTGTTCTACGCTAGGGACATCTCGCGGCTGTGATTCACGATACTGCTTCGCCAAACTGCCTTTAGATGGTGGGTCAGTCGGTGTCCGTCTGCTGCTGTGCGCCGAGAATTAGCCCTATAAATTACGATGAATTACACTTTCTAGTGTGACGATACCGTCACATTATCATATGGGTCGCGTTTAGATGCAAATGAAGAAACGACTGCGTTGAAAAAATATGTCATTTCATCGAACGTTGAAATGCTCGAAGTGCTCGCTAAAAATAAACTCGCTAACTGAGCCCTAAAGGTCGGCTGCCTTGTTGCATTGCATTTAGGCCAAAAACGCGGGCTGGGTGTAAGTTGTCGAGAAACAATTTTTGGCCTGAAGTGTTCTCTAAAGTATTATCTACATAGATCCAGGGAACATATTTGCTATCTATGATGGCTTAGGAGATATTGAATCTTAAGTCCTCCGGTGTACCCTGTTTTGCGGCGGCCCACGTGTTAAAAGCTGCTGAACATTTTTACTTTGACCAAAAAACGCGGGCACAGTTTTGTCTGTACGAAAATGACTCTTGTCCTATCGCACTCCACGTGGGCTGAAAATTCAGAAACCAGGGAACATATTTGCTACGACCAGTACTTTTCACGATTCAGACCGAAACGTGAAAAAATAGCCCCCAAACCCTATGGCGGGCACCTCTCCGCTGCGCCCGGCCGCGGGTCGCTAGTTCCCGAAACGACACACCATGCTACTGCGGGTAACGACAGGTGAACGGTCAGCTTAGGGACGTTAAAAGGGAAAATACTCTCCTACTGCGGGTAACAACAGGCGAACGGTCAGTGCACCAATTCATAAGGGAATATTTAAATTTCCGGCTACGGGAAAAATAAATAAATTGTCAGTGCTAAGTTGGGGACAGATGTTCCCATTGCTAATAAATACATTACGTTAGTTATGTACCAGTTGGTCAGCTATTGTTAAAACCCGCGCCGGGCCGGTGCTCTGAGATTCCGCGCCGGGCCGGGGGGGGGGGGGGTGTGTCTGAACACCCCCCTTCTAACTCGGCTCCTGGGCCACGTAGCGACACGCGGTAAGCAGCAATCGAAAGAACGTCCAAAATAAGGACGAAAGCACTTCGGTCATTTTTTGGGTCAGGTCAAAGGTCAGGTCACCAGAGGTCACCAAAGGTCAAACATTTTAGAAACTGCCAACGGCTATCTCGGGAACCGATAGAGCTACAGCGCCTCGGAAAAGCGCATTCGATAGCCCTTTTACAGACCTTTCTGAGTAATATTCTCAGATTTGACCTCAGGTCAACGGTTTAGCCTCCAGGGGGCAAAAACTCCAAAAATAGCCGTTTTTACGAAAAACGTTTTCTTCGGCAATAACTTTTGACTCAAAAGAGTCATGACATTACTTTTGCCACCATCGTGTTCCTCTCGTCGAGACGCGTCGAATGACTATAATCTGACCTTGAAAGGTCAACTTGAAAATTTGACCTCAGGTCAAGGTCATGACCTGACCGGAAAAGGTCATGTTGCATATCAGTCGATCCGCAACGTCGAGCCAAACACATATAAGGCGTTTTCAGCGCTCTAGCACGTCTCTATCAGAAGTTATTAGCGAAAAACTGTTAGATTCTGTTCGTGACCTGAGATGACCTCGGGGACATAACGAGGGGTCACAGTTGCCATTTTCCGGTTCAGTGTATCCATTTTGCCTATATCTCGATGTTTGAGAGTGTCTAGAAAAACGTTCGTGCAAAACAAACGCTTTTCAATTTTCTCCCATTGACTTATAATGGAGAGGTCGGAAAATTGACCTGACCTTAGGTCACCGATATCAAAATTCCGAGAAATACATTTTATAGACAATGTTGCTCTAATCAATCGCTGAAAGTTTCAAGGCAATCGATCAATGGGTGTAGCTATGACAAGCATTCTTATTTTTTCTGAGGTGAGGTCACTTGGCGTGACCTGGTGACCTGACCTAAGGTGACCTGGGTCTGAAATTTTAACAACATTTGCGGAAAAGATGCACAAACAGGTGTGCCAAAAACGGCGGCGCTCCGCGCCGCCGTTTTTGAGATATCTGCGAAAAACCGCAGGGGGGTGTTCAAACACCCCCAGGCCCGGCGCGGGTTAAAGTGGACAAAATCAGTACGCGCCGCAGCGGACATATAAATACCATGCGTAGCAGTGTCCCACAGTCGAACAAAATAATCAACAAGCAACGGTAATGCCAGCGATTATGTTCCGTGATCTTGACAAATTATCTGAATAGTTAAGATAAACAGGTAAAGGTGGCTGGCAACTATGATGACCTATCAAGTAAAGAATTCCAGCCGTTGCGCTCGGATTTTAGCTATTCGTTCTTGTCGAATGCAGCGCCCTTGCATTGTAAACGTAAACTATTTTTAACGAGTAAGCCTAAAGTCTCAGAACGTCTGTACCCACCGAGGCGGCGCAGGCGGCGGTCTCGTCGACCAGGTTGTTGTCGTCATGGACGCTGCCGCCGAAACGAATACCGATCGTCGAAACATTCTGCAACGGACGGAGAGATCATAGTGGGTCAGCAGAGATCATAGTGGGTCAGCAGGGATCATAGTGGGTCAGCGGAGATCATAGTGGATCAGCAGAGATCATAGTGGGTCAGCAGAGATCATAGTGGATCAGCAGAGATCATAGTGGGTCAGCAGAGATCATAGTGGGTCAGCAGAGATCATAGTGGGTCAGCAGGGATCATAGTGGGTCAGCAGAGATCATAGTGGGTCAGCAGAGATCATAGTGGGTCAGCAGAGATCATATTGGGTCAGCAGAGATCATACTGGATCAGCAGAGATCATAGTGGGTCAGCAATGATCATAGTGGGTCAGCAGAGATCATAGTGGGTCAGCTGAGATCATAGTGGGTCACCAGAGATCATAGTGGGTCAGCAGAGATCATAGTGGGTCAGCAGAGATCATAGTGGGTCAGCAGAGATCATAGTGGGTCAGCAGAGATCATAGTGGGTCAGCAGAGATCATAGTGGGTCAGCAGAGATCATAGTGGGTCAGCAGAGATCATACTGGATCAGCAGAGATCATAGTGGGTCAGCAATGATCATAGTGGGTCAGCAGAGATCCTAGTGGGTCAGCTGAGATCATAGTGGGTCACCAGAGATCATAGTGGGTCAGCAGAGATCATAGTGGGTCAGCAGGGATCATAGTGGGTCAGTGGAGATCATAGTGGATCAGCAGAGATCATAGTGGGTCAGCAGAGATCATAGTGGGTCAGCAGAGATCGTAGTGGGTCAGCAGAGATCATAGTGGGTCAGCAGATATCATAGTGGGTCAGCAGAGATCATAGTGGGTCAGCAGAGATCATAGTGGGTCAGCAGGGATCATAGTGGGTCAGCAGAGATCATAGTGGGTCAGCATCATAGTGGGTCAGCAGAGATCATAGTGGGTCAGCAGAGATCATAGTGGGTCAGCAGAGATCATAGTGGGTCAGCAGAGATCATAACTTGGGTCAACAGAGATCATAGTGAGTCAGCAGAGATCATAGTGGGTCAGCAGGGATCATAGTGACTAGTGAGTCAGCAGAGATCATAGTGGGTCAGCAGGGATCATAGTGGGTCAGCACTTCAGCAGAGATCATAGTGGGTCAGCAGAGATCAGCACTGGTCATTGTGGGTCAGTAGAGGTCATTATGGGTTAGCAGAGGTTAACAGTGACGACGATGGTAGGTCAGTACAGGTAATGGTGAGTTCGCAGAGGCCACGGAGAGTCAGATACTAGCAGAGATCAGCAGAGGTCATGGTGGGTTGACAGAGGTCAACAGAGAAGAAGCTAGGGAGTTATTTGGGTACACCGGGATTGGCAGAGGTTTTCAGAGACAACAACGGGGTTACAAAGAACAAGAAATAACAATGTACCTCCTACCATGCAAAAGGCCAGAAAGGTCGCATGGGCTATATGTCGACACGCACGTTGTTGAGCAGAGACATTTCTAAAGCAACGGTCAACAACCGGTAAGAGCAAAGCCAAATCAACACAGGCTCGGCCACCAGAGACAAAACAACGATAGCTAGTGAAGATCGCAGTTCGCACCGAGTTCAGGCAGGTCACCAGAGGCCAAGGGGAGTATCCGAGCTCCAAAAATAGCCTCAGCCTCCCGATAGATCTCAGTTGTATCCCACTGGTCCCCGTATCCCGCCGGATCCACCCGGACCCGGAGGTGCCAATCCCTTCGGCCGGGCTAATCCGCTCTGCAGTGCAGCAGAGCCCGGCGATCGCCAAGGTCGTGTACTGGCGCCCGTCCGTTCACCGGCCCAGACGAGCTATCACTGTTCTGTTGGCTCCTGTCATTCTGTGACACAGCACACTCTCGGTAGACGACCAGGAGCCATTATTAGCATGGGAGAGACGACCTCCAGATGGGGTACTGATAAAGAAGAGAAAACATTAGGGGCGTTCCACGACAAATCGACAAGTGCCCTGCACCCTCATATTTTATTTTTTGCTTAAAATTGGTCTAATGGGTTGTGATGGGCGGGGAAGCCAGCTGTGGCAAGGATTTTTTTCTTCGAACAACGGTTTCCGAGATATACAGGGTGTTTCACTAAAAGTGTCAAAAAGTAAATGCCTATTAAAGTTATATAAAATATGCAAATCACGTGGTTGCGCACGTGGCTTGGTTGCAAATTTTTGGACATTTATGCTTTGTCCATTTAAGATGTATTTTACACTCATACGGAGCGAGGGCAGGAGGCCAAAGTTACTAGTCGTTTTTTCCTTATGCAGAACAAGAACAGGTTATTTACACCTCAACAGGAGGGGTGAATTACACTTACCTTTGGTGCCATCAGAAACATTGAAACCGTATGCCGACTTTTCAGGAAACGTTTTATTCTCTCACCTCGCTACGTTCCAGATTATAAAAGGTTCAAAGGGCTTCTTGAGAGGTTTAAAAGGGTTCCTTCGATGCCGGTCGCAGTCCAAAAAAGACGGGGTCCCCCACCTCTCGGCGGAAACCGTTGAAAAGGTCAGGGTCTTTTTGAGGGTCTTTGAAGATAACAAGAAGCTAATTTCAACATCAGAAATAGCCAAGGCCTTACAAGTTATCAAAAACAGCCACTATAGGTAATGGCTGTAACCGCCAGGAACTGGCTGGATTAGAAGTTCCTGCACCGAAAAATCAGCTGCCTCGCCGCCCGCCTCTGGCCAGCGCAAAGCCCCGATCTGTCACCGTTTTACTTCTGGTTTTGGTCAGTAGCTCTCGCAGAGCTGAGGAAGACTCAAGTCGCATCACTTCGGGAGCTGAAGAGCACCATTCAAGGCTTTGCCGACAGTTTGGACGCTGAAGATGAAAACGGGCTGTGAGGCACCTCCGGACACGTGCCGAAACGGTGCATCAAAAGAAGGGGCGGATATGTGGAATAGGTTTGAGTGACGGTGCTATCGTTTTTATATATTCAAATGTCCAACAATTGCGGATGAAATGGTATGCAAATTTCCGTATAAAACATTGTTATTATGTGCATTATGACCTTTTACTTTTTGACACTTTTAGTGAAACACCCTGTAGCCTCGGGCAATTCCTGGATGTCGCGCTGCAGCCCTATGTTTGGTGGCCTATAACTAAAAAACTATTGGTTTTCTACGATAAAAACTTTATATGGTTCAACTCACAATCAACCAACGAACATTTTTACTATCTCGGATTTTCAACTTTTGAAAATTTTGATCACGTGACCTTTTGACCTATTTTTCGAAGAGTGACCTTGATATTTTCCCCACTGAAAGTTGCAATTTTGTCTGATGACGATTAAAGCATTATCAATTGTCATTCATATGCGAAAATAAAAAAGTGGATATCGCCTTGCGTTGACCTCAGGTCAGGTCATTTTTATGACCTGTCCATTATTACGAGCGGGAGCGACAGCGAGATCTCGAGAATAAAGCAAGATAGCGACAAGCGGTAAACGGTGCAGGGTACACTACAAATGGATAAGGTCTATAATTTTTACCGAGGTCATTTTCAGGTCAGGTCAAAGATGACGTCACAGGAGCAAAAAGGAAGTCAAAATTGCGGCACTACATATATATGAAGTTTTTCTCGAATAACTTTCAAGGTATCCTAGCTAGGAACAAACTAATAGCAGCATCGTGATCCTCTCGTCGATCCGCATCGAAACATATGTATGTTGACCTCGAAAGGTCAAAAGGTCAAAAGTTGACCTTAGGTCACGTGACCTAAGGTCAACTTTTGAGTGGGGAAAATATCAAGGTCACTCTTCGAAAAATAGGTCAAAAGGTCACGTGATCAAAATTTTCGAAAATCGAAAATCCGAGATAGCCAAAATGTTTGTTGGCTGATTGTGAGTTGAACCATATAAAGTTTTTTATCGTAGAAAACCAATAGTTTCTGAGTTATAGGCCGCCAAACATAGGGCTGCAGCGCGACCTGCTGGAATTGCCCGAGGCTATATCTCGGAAACCGTTGTTCGAAGAAAAAATCCTTGCCACAGCTGGCTTCTCCGCCCATCACAACCCCTTACACCAGTTTTCAACGAAAAATAAAATATGAGGGTGCAAATTTAATTTTTTATTTGTCGATTTGTCGTGGAACGCCCCATTAGCGTTACACGGGACTCTTGCCTGGCACTTCGGCACTGGCGACTAGCTTCCCTCGAAGAACATTGGAGTCCATGTGACAATAGCCCAGAGGAAAGATATGCAAGATTTGGTGAGATGTGGCTTATGATCTGAATGCTGTGTATCGTTTGATCGGAATTTGTTTCCGTAATGTCCCTCCCCAGAAAGGCGAAGTTCGTCACTGACAGCAGTGACATCAGTGACAGCAGTGACGTCAGTGACAGCAGTGACGTCAGTGACAGCAAACACAGCAGTGACGTCAGTGACAACCAGACGGAGGCAGCTCGTCTCGCCGGAAGTGCGGCGGGCAGCGCGTGCAGCCGACCGGAAGTCCGCACTTCCGGTCTGGCGATAGTCGCTGTGAGGAGCGCGCGGTGGGTTCGTTGGCCATCACTGGGTCATTGGAAACTCTTCAAATTATAGAGGAAAGATAGATCCTTTCAAAATACGAAGTTCATTGTGTGTAACCACCAGATTCCACTTCAAATTCATTCACAGGTGTTGCACGATAAGGACCCGTGAAAACACGACGCACGACCAAAAAGAAACAACAACGTTAGACACGCTACGGGCCTCATTCAGCCAATAATGTTGGAATGCTATGGGATAATTTTAGCGATAAGAATTGTTGCATTGCAACAACCCTCTGACCAAGCGATGCTGATCTATCGACACTACTGCTCCAGTAACACCCCCGCAGCAGCCCCCAGTCTCATACCGTCACGCAGGATCTCGTATGGTAGTCACCGTCCCCAGCGTCCCAGTGCCAGCGGTGCCAGCGGTCAGCCACAAATCCTCAGCACACTATCACCGACTCGTTACGAGTCCTCAGCACACACTGACACTGGAGCCCACTCGTCTCACCAGCGCCGATCAGCCAGCCGGTCAGCGGCTCTAATCTCTAACCGTAGGTACTGACACTAGAGCCCACTCGTCTCACCGCCGCCGATCAGCCAGCCGGTCAGCGGCTCTGATCTCTGTCCGTGGTAAGGTCACGGCGTAAGGCTTACCCCGAACACTGCAGAGACTGTATACAGTTTGTATTGTACTGCAGTCTGAGTCAAGAGGGTATATCTGAGAGGGTCTGAGTAGTCTGTGAGAGAGGGTCTGAGTAGTCTGTAAGGGACTCAACAGTCTGAGATTGTATGAGTAGTCTGAGGGAGAGGGTCTGAGCAAACTCGTGAGAAAGTGTTTGTACTAGTGATGTCAATTACAGAAAATCGGAATACCGATACCAAGCCAAATACCAACCAGAACCGTGAGGGAATACCGAAACCGAACCAACTTGGGAACATGAGGCAAATACCAAATTTATACCAATTTCTCAGCCTCTTGTACATTAGTGAGGGTTCATAATACCAACAAAATACCAAGTATAGGAGGGTGAAATACCAAATACCAAGTTGGTATCGGTTTGGTATCGATATACCAAAAAATTGGTATTCGATTGACATCTCTAGTTTGTATACTGTCGGATTAACTAGCCCACAGCTTATCGGGAATCATCTCACTGATACTCTCCCGGCTGATAGGTACATGGCTGATGAATGTGACTGATATGAGCCATAGATCCCACTGGCAATAACTGGTCCATCAAAAACGTTACAAAGGCTAACACAAGAATGTGAAATTATCCGGAGAAATATCAAATTAGTATCCGTAAACTGAAAAGCGATAATGTGAACACATATATATTGCACAAACCGGTTTCGATATCACTTCATCAGTGTGCAAATATATAAATAAAACACACAAAATACAAAACGGAGACGAAATAGGTACTTACCTATTTCGGGACGAAATAGGAGACGAAATGTACCTATTTCGTCTCCGTTTTGTATTTTGTGTGTTTTATTTATATATTTGCACACTGATGAAGTGATATCGAAACCGGTTTGTGCAATATATATGTGTTCACATTATCGCTTTTCACAAACGTCAAACTGTCATACCACAATATCCGTAAACTACCGAAAAAAAAACATATTCAATCCACAGTTCACATGTGTTAGCAGGATTTACTGTCAGATAAATTAACTGAGAAAATGCTGGAGGATGCACCTCATAGGACTTGCAAAACTCATCGCCAGCACTATTAGGAATTCAGGAATTAAGCTAGGTCCGCTATCAAAAATAGATAATTAATCCCCAGACACATCGAATCCAGATTCAAATCTCACGCGAGTCTGAAGAGATCCGCTATTGTGTATACCGGTTCAGAGCCGCGGCTAATGCGATCGTTGGATGGGAGCATTGGAGGACATTGTGTGACCTTGGCATTAATCTCGTCATCCCCACATTCCGGGGGGCTCGGCTTTTGGCGCTGGTCAGAGCCGCGGCCGACATGTGTCCGGTTATGTCCGGACCAGTGTCCGGTTATGTCGGACCAATGTGCCCGGTATGGTACCCCTGGTCGCTGTGTCCGGTTGTCCTCACATGTGTCCGGTACCTATGGCCCCCTGGTCCGCAGGTGTCCAGTGCTTACGTCCGGTCTGTATGCGGCCTGTCCGGTATGCGTTCAACGTATACCAACCACCAACGTGTTCGGTTTATTTGCCATACAGCATGACTGCCGTTTAGGAGCTTCCGATTATTCGATCCGAATATAAACAGGTACATACTTGCGTACTCTTAGAATGCATATTGCATAAGCTGGTGATGTTCTTGTCAAATCATATAAATGTCAATGCAATGCCAGTCTTGTGGTTTACAACAGTTCAGTTACTGTATTCTTTAAGTTTCTCAGCACTTGTGCGAGGATAATATTAGAGCACTTTAATTAGTTACCCTACCCTCGTAGTTTAACACGCGCAGTGGAAGGGGGGGGGGGCGGATTTCGCCCACCCCTCCTGTTTTCACCAATAACTCGCGCCGCAAGCATAATATCAATGTGAAATTTCGGCTACCTGTCCAGAATTGAATTGCAGATCTTCTCGTGCAAGAAGTAAGAAAATCGGTTCACAACTTTTCTAGTAATAGCGGTGTAAAGTCAAACATCCTGCCGCCGCGGCGGCGCGGCGGCGCGGCGGCCGGCGCTAGCCGTTACGCGCCGCCTGAATTGTAGACTGTGCCGGGGTGGGACGGTTCCGTCTTTACATCACGCTCCTTACCGCTGATTATATTAGATTCGCGTCAAATTCGGTGAGAAGACTGAGAAGTGTACAGGCAATTATATGGTCAAATAATTTTGAAAATCAGCCGGTAACAACTTGAGTTTTATGAGTGTGTAAACACAAAATTGTGATTGCCGCGTTTCCCGCGTCGGCCGATGCCGCTTCAGCCGGTGACATCTTACCCTTAGCAGGCTTCTACCTGCCATATTTATTGTTGGATTATCTAGAAATTCACCATACATACTCACAAATGTTTGCTCTTTCGTATAGTGAAAGAATTTAAAAAATCAACCGGTACCTTTTTGAGTTATCGGCGTGTAAACGCAAAAAAGTCGCTAATATGGCAGATTTGACCACATTTGACCTCATTTGACCTTGAAGATATTGACCTAGGGTCATGAAATTCACACACAACAGAGGTCCCCATGGCCCCCACCTACCCTCCAAATTTCGTCTTTCTAGCTCCAGTGGGAGCTGAGATCTTAGGGGGGCGACATCCGCCCCCCCTTCCACTGGGCGTAGTACTCGCAACCCTTCCACTGCGCGTGTTAAAAAAGTTAAGTCCAAACACTTGGTTATTAATAATTTCGAGCACAGTTTTCATCAGAATACAAAGCTATAAAATGTTTTTTTTTTTGCTTTGTATTCTGATGAAGAGCTGTGCTCGAAATTATTAATAAACAAGTGTTTGGACTTAACTTTTTTTAAAATTTAAACTACGAGGGTGAGGTCACTAATTAAAACAATTCAGTTACTGTTGAATTTCATCTTTCTTCTTCTCCAAGCGTCAATGCAAACGCCCTCCCATTTGCAATCGCTTCCTCCGCCCCTGCTCGCTGCAGCCAATAAAACTACGTTGCAGAAGCGTGGGCGTTTGCCAAGTGCGGCACGTGACAGCTCGCTGTAAGCTCTCCCCGCGGGAGATGGCACAGATTTCGGATAACGACGCAGAGCTTCGAAGGAGGGAGGCAATTTCTAGGTTAAGCTTCGAAGAACGGCGCAGATGGTTTCCAGACGCCTTCTGAGAGGGAGGTAGACGAGGGAGGGAGGGAGAGGAGAGAGGGAGAGAGAGGAGAGAAGGAGAGAGAGAGAGGGGACATGCCCCCCTCCCCACAGAGGGTGGGGGCGGTCACTTACCGACCAAACCGTCTGGCCAAGACGTGGCTCTGCAGTTACTGACACAAACACGGAAAGGTCAGATGTCGGTAAGGATTTAACTGGTTTGTGAACTCAGGTAAACGGTGTTAGCTAGTCTCATACGCTGCTATAATACAACCTACACAGCGGCTGGATAACAAACTATACAATGTATTTTTAACGAATGTAATAATTGGAAAGGGCGTCGTCGTCCCGCACTTGGCCTTAGTTAGCGCCAGTAGGTTCTGCCCCTTACATTCCCGGTTTTTAATGACACATCCTCACGGGACATTACCACGCGCCACCTGACCGACCACCCGGCAACGCCCCCCCCCCTTCCCCCTCCTGGGCTGACCCCCTTCCTTCACGGAAGGTTATACGGTCTCCGACCATTAACCTTAGCATTGGTCAGTGAGGGTGAGCGACGACAAAAGAAATGTGTGTGGAACACGTAAACGGGCCCTAATAATGGTGATGAAACACGTGAGGCGCTGACTGGAGCACCTCCATGGTATTCTAACTGCATTCTGTAAAAAGTTCAATCAATAATTCAGCAGCATGAAAGCAGTAAGTACCACAACTCTTCACTTTTAACATTGGATTCAAGGCTTTAAAGATTCAAGGAGGGAAAGGTGGTTTTCAAAACAAAGTGAAATATGTTCATATTATAAACCAGGTTCGTCGATATTTGTAACAAAAACCAAGTTTCCTTCTCCGATGTTCGGTGCTGGCTGATCTGAGAATCGAACCCGCGACCCCGGCTGGCTGCACTCAGTACTCAGTACTCACCGAGGGGAATTCCTCGTCGCCTCGTGTGATCTCTGAGAGCGCTGCACCGCTAGCTGTGTTCAGCGCCTGCCGGATCAGCTCCCTGGGAACAGGTGACGACGGATGGGGTCAGACAGCCACAGGTGACGATAGACGGGGTCAGACAGCCAGCAGCAGTCCGTCAGACACAGACGGGGTCACAGCAGTCCGTCAGACACAGACGGGGTCAGACAGCCAGCAGCAGTCCGTCAGACACAGACGGGGTCAGACAGTCAGCAGCAGTCCGTCAGACACAGACGGGGTCACAGCAGTCCGTCAGACACAGACGGGGTCATACAGCCAGCAGCAGTCCGTCAGACACAGACGGGGTCAGACAGTCAGCAGCAGTCCGTCAGACACAGACGGGGTCACAGCAGTCCGTCAGACACAGACGGGGTCATACAGCCGGCAGCAGTCCGTCAGACACAGACGGGGTCACAGCAGTCCGTCAGACACAGACGGGGTCAGACAGCCAACAGCAGACACAGACGGGGTCAGACAGCCAGCAGCAGTCCGTCAGACACAGACGGGGTCAGACAGTCAGCAGCAGTCCGTCAGACACAGACGGGGTCACAGCAGTCCGTCAGACACAGACGGGGTCATACAGCCAGCAGCAGTCCGTCAGACACAGACGGGGTCAGACAGTCAGCAGCAGTCCGTCAGACACAGACGGGGTCACAGCAGTCCGTCAGACACAGACGGGGTCATACAGCCGGCAGCAGTCCGTCAGACACAGACGGGGTCACAGCAGTCCGTCAGACACAGACGGGGTCAGACAGCCAACAGCAGACACAGACGGGGTCAGACAGCCAGCAGCAGTCCGTCAGACACAGACAGCCAGCAGCAGTCCGTCAGACACAGACGGGGTCAGCAGCCAGCAGCAGTCCGTCAGACACAGACGGGGTCACAGCAGTCCGTCAGACACAGACGGGGTCAGACAGCCAGCAGCAGTCCGTCAGACACAGACGGAGTCAGACAGCCGGCAGCAGTCCGTCAGACACAGACGGGGTCACAGCAGTCCGTCAGACACAGACGGGGTCACAGCAGTCCGTCAGACACAGACGGGGTCAGACAGCCAGCAGCAGTCCGTCAGACACAGACGGGGTCAGACAGCCAGCAGCAGTCCGTCAGACACAGACGGGGTCACAGCAGTCCGTCAGACACAGACGGGGTCAGACAGCCAGCAGCAGTCCGTCAGACACAGACGGGGTCACAGCAGTCCGTCACACAGACGGGGTCAGACAGCCAACAGCAGACACAGACGGGGTCAGACAGCCAGCAGCAGTCCGTCAGACACAGACGGGGTCACAGCCAGCAGCAGTCCGTCAGACACAGACGGGGTCAGACAGCCGGCAGCAGTCCGTCAGACACAGACGGGGTCACAGCAGTCCGTCAGACACAGACGGGGTCAGACAGCCAGCAGCAGTCCGTCAGACACAGACGGGGTCACAGCAGTCCGTCAGACACAGACGGGGTCAGACAGCCAGCAGCAGTCCGTCAGACACAGACAGAGTCAGACAGCCAGCAGCAGTCCGTCAGACACAGACAGCCAGCAGCAGTCCGTCAGACACAGACGGGGTCAGACAGCCGGCAGCAGTCCGTCAGACACAGACGGGGTCACAGCAGTCCGTCAGACACAGACGGGGTCACAGCAGTCCGTCAGACACAGACGGGGTCAGACAGCCGGCAGCAGTCCGTCAGACACAGACGGGGTCAGACAGCCAGCAGCAGTCCGTCAGACACAGACGGGGTCAGACAGCCGGCAGCAGTCCGTCAGACACAGACGGGGTCAGACAGCCAGCAGCAGTCCGTCAGACACAGACGGGGTCACAGCAGTCCGTCAGACACAGACGGGGTCACAGCAGTCCGTCAGACACAGACGGGGTCAGACAGTCAGCAGCAGTCCGTCAGACACAGACGGGGTCACAGCAGTCCGTCAGACACAGACGGGGTCAGCAGCCGGCAGCAGTCCGTCAGACACAGACGGGGTCACAGCAGTCCGTCAGACACAGACGGGGTCAGACAGCCAGCAGCAGTCCGTCAGACACAGACGGGGTCACAGCAGTCCGTCAGACACAGACGGGGTCACAGCAGTCCGTCAGACACAGACGGGGTCAGACAGCCAGCAGCAGTCCGTCAGACACAGACGGGGTCACACAGCCAGCAGTCCGTCAGACACAGACGGGGTCAGACAGCCATCAGCAGTCCGTCAGACACAGACGGGGTCAGACAGCCGGCAGCAGTCCGTCAGACACAGACGGGGTCAGAGCAGTCCGTCAGACACATACGGGGTCACAGCAGTCCGTCAGACACAGACGGGGTCAGACAGCCGGCAGCAGTCCGTCAGACACAGACGGGGTCAGAGCAGTCCGTCAGACACATACGGGGTCACAGCAGTCCGTCAGACACAGACGGGGTCAGACAGCCAGCAGCAGTCCGTCAGACACAGACGGGGTCAGACAGCCGGCAGCAGTCCGTCAGACACAGACGGGGTCAGACAGCCGGCAGCAGTCCGTCAGACACAGACGGGGTCAGACAGTCAGCAGCAGTCCGTCAGACACAGACGGGGTCACAGCAGTCCGTCAGACACCGACGGGGTCAGCAGCCGGCAGCAGTCCGTCAGACACAGACGGGGTCAGAGCAGTCCGTCAGACACATACGGGGTCACAGCAGTCCGTCAGACACAGACGGGGTCAGACAGCCGGCAGCAGTCCGTCAGACACAGACGGGGTCAGAGCAGTCCGTCAGACACATACGGGGTCACAGCAGTCCGTCAGACACAGACGGGGTCAGACAGCCAGCAGCAGTCCGTCAGACACAGACGGGGTCAGCCAGCAGCAGTCCGTCAGACACAGACGGGGTCAGACAGCCGGCAGCAGTCCGTCAGACACAGACGGGGTCACAGCAGTCCGTCAGACACAGACGGGGTCACAGCAGTCTGTCAGACACAGACGGGGTCAGACAGCCAGCAGCAGTCCGTCAGACACAGACGGGGTCAGCCAGCAGCAGTCCGTCAGACACAGACGGGGTCAGACAGCCGGCAGCAGTCCGTCAGACACAGACGGGGTCACAGCAGTCCGTCAGACACAGACGGGGTCACAGCAGTCCGTCAGACAGGGACGGGGTCAGACAGCCGGCAGCAGTCCGTCAGACACAGACGGGGTCACAGCAGTCCGTCAGACACAGACGGGGTCAGACAGCCAGCAGCAGTCCGTCAGACACAGACGAGGTCAGTCAGCAGCAGTCCGTCAGACACAGACGGGGTCACAGCAGTCCGTCAGACACAGACGGGGTCACAGCAGTCCGTCAGACACAGACGGGGTCAGACAGCCAGCAGCAGTCCGTCAGACACAGACGGGGTCAGCCAGCAGCAGTCCGTCAGACACAGACGGGGTCAGACAGCCGGCAGCAGTCCGTCAGACACAGACGGGGTCACAGCAGTCCGTCAGACACAGACGGGGTCAGACAGCCAGCAGCAGTCCGTCAGACACAGACGGGGTCAGCCAGCAGCAGTCCGTCAGACACAGACGGGGTCAGACAGCCGGCAGCAGTCCGTCAGACACAGACGGGGTCACAGCAGTCCGTCAGACACAGACGGGGTCACAGCAGTCCGTCAGACACAGACGGGGTCACAGCAGTCCGTCAGACACAGACGGGGTCAGACAGCCGGCAGCAGTCCGTCAGACACAGACGGGGTCACAGCAGTCCGTCAGACACAGACGGGGTCAGACAGCCAGCAGCAGTCCGTCAGACACAGACGAGGTCAGCCAGCAGCAGTCCGTCAGACACAGACGGGGTCACAGCAGTCCGTCAGACACAGACGGGGTCACAGCAGTCCGTCAGACACAGACGGGGTCAGACAGCCAGCAGCAGTCCGTCAGACACAGACGGGGTCAGCCAGCAGCAGTCCGTCAGACACAGACGGGGTCAGACAGCCGGCAGCAGTCCGTCAGACACAGACGGGGTCAGACAGTCAGCAGCAGTCCGTCAGACACAGACAGGGTCACAGCAGTCCGTCAGACACAGACGGGATCAGACAGCCGGCAGCAGTCCGTCAGACACAGACGGGGTCACAGCAGTCCGTCAGACACAGACGGGGTCACAGCAGTCCGTCAGACACAGACGGGGTCAGACAGCCGGCAGCAGTCCGTCAGACACAGACGGGGTCACAGCAGTCCGTCAGACACAGACGGGGTCAGACAGCCAGCAGCAGTCCGTCAGACACAGACGAGGTCAGCCAGCAGCAGTCCGTCAGACACAGACGGGGTCACAGCAGTCCGTCAGACACAGACGGGGTCACAGCAGTCCGTCAGACACAGACGGGGTCAGACAGCCAGCAGCAGTCCGTCAGACACAGACGGGGTCAGCCAGCAGCAGTCCGTCAGACACAGACGGGGTCAGACAGCCGGCAGCAGTCCGTCAGACACAGACGGGGTCACAGCAGTCCGTCAGACACAGACGGGGTCACAGCAGTCCGTCAGACACAGACAGGGTCAGACAGCCGGCAGCAGTCCGTCAGACACAGACGGGGTCAGACAGCCGGCAGCAGTCCGTCAGACACAGACGGGGTCACAGCAGTCCGTCAGACACAGACGGGGTCACAGCAGTCCGTCAGACACAGACGGGGTCAGACAGCCGGCAGCAGTCCGTCAGACACAGACGGGGACACAGCAGTCCGTCAGACACAGACGGGGACACAGCAGTCCGTCAGACACAGACGGGGTCAGACAGCCGGCAGCAGTCCATCAGACACAGACGAGGTCAGACAGCCAGCAGCAGTCCGTCAGACACAGACGGGGTCACAGCAGTCCGTCAGACATAGACGGGGTCAGACAGCCGGCAGCAGAAACAGACGGCGTAGGAGAGCGGAAGCGCCAGGACAATTCCGGCATCCAACGATAGCCGTCAGGGGCAACATTCAAAAGTGCATTATATGTAACATATTTGTCTTACTTGTCAAACGACATCCAAGGAGTTTTGGGGATTTGGAGGAACTTTTTTTGGGGGTATGACCCCTTGAGACCGCCTTCCTGGATCCGGCGATGACCTGATGAGTATGCACTGTGCAGGTCAGGGCCGACTAGTCACTACTAGTCAGTTACAACTATAGTAGAGATGTCAATCGGATACCAACTTTTTGGTATACCGATACCAAGCCGATACCAACTTGGTATTTGGTATTTCAATCCTAGCGTGTTTGGTATTTTGTTAGTATTATGAGCCCTCACTAATGTAATAAGAGGCTGAGAAATTGGTAAAAAGTTGGTATTTCCCTCATGTTTCCAAGTTGGTTCGGTTTCGGTATTTCCTCACGGCTTTGGTTGGTATTTGGTTTGGTATCGGTATTCAGATTTTCTGTAATTAACATCACTAAACTATAGCCTACCGGTTACTTACGCGGGGTAGTCGTGTATGTCCTCGCTGGAGCACACCCCGGTCGGGTTCTGGGCGCACGGCGGTGTGTCGCGGAACACCAGCGGCTGCCGGGAGGGCTCCGACGGCTGCGGCGGCTCCGGCTCAGCCTCTGTCGGTCACAGGGGGGGTCAGAGAGGTCACATACTGCTGCGGGGGGTCCGTGTCACAGTTGGAGGTCAGAGAGGTCAGATACTGCTGTGGGGCTCCGGCTCAGCCTCTGGCGGTCACAGGGGAGGTCAGAGAGGTCACATACTGCTGCAGGGGGTCCGGCTCGACCTCTGGCGGTCACAGGGGGAGGTCAGAGAGGTCACATACTGCTGCGGGGAGGTCAGATAGGTCACATACTGCAGAGAGGTCACATACTGCGGCGGCTCCGGCTCGGCCTGTGGAGGTCACAGCGGGAGGTCAGAGAGGTCACATACTGCTGCGGGGAAGTCAGATAGGTCACATACTGCAGAGAGGTCACATACTGCGGCGGCTCCGGCTCGGCCTCTGGAGGTCACAGCGGGAGGTCAGAGAGGTCACATATTGCTGCAGGGGCTCCGGTTCCGCCTCTGGCGGTCACAGGGGAAGGTCAGAGAGGTCAAATACTGCTGCGCGGGGTCCGACTCGGCCTCTGGCGGGTCACAGGGTCAGATGCTGCTGCGGGGGCTGCGAGGGCTCCGGTGGCCGGGAGGGCCCCGGTCCGGCCACTGTCGGTCAGAGAGGTCAGATACTGCTGTTGAGAGGGCTCCAGCTGCTGAGGAGGTCCCGCTTTGGTTTCGGTCTAGTCAGAATCAAAAGAGCTAAACTGGTGCGATCATTCCTCTGAGGGGTTTTGTAAGGCTGAAAGATTCATTACCTACATAGTCCTTCCTAAGGCATTAAAGTGGGCGGTTGAAAACAAAATAAGTGTAAGGAATGAAACGGAGAATAACATCGAATTGAACGAAATTAATTAACGCAATTAAATGAATGTAGGAATGAATGAATGAATGAATGAATGAATGAATGAATGAATGAATGAGTGCTTGATTGACGAGTGGAGTTGGAGTAATCAGTAAACCATTTCACACTAGCGATTCTTCAGTTCACTAATTAAGTACGGTAAATGCAGCCAGCACAAACAAGTTTGCCACGGGTGGGCCACTTTAACAGCCATATCATTTACCGGTTATCAGATGGTGGAAAAATCGGATAAGAGAAACGCTTAAAATACAGGTTCAATAACAGTAAAAAAAACAACAACAACAAAAAACAAACAAACAAACAAACGATGCCTGCCATTATCTTCCAGTTTAGACAGAGTCGTCATCGAATATTTCCGTGAAATCCAATTTCGTGAGTCGCCACACCGTTCCCACATCACAGCACCACAGCGTGCAGACTGACCTGGGAAAATGATGCTTGCTGTCCGAGCCTGATCGGCCAGCAGTAATGCTGACAGCAGCACCTGCGAACAGCAGAGAGCAGGGACTGATTAGCTGCAGCACATCGGAGCGACATCATAGCCCCATAGTGACGTGACGTCCTAGTGACACCATTGCGCCACAGTGACGTCATACGTCGCTGCGCAGTGAAGTTGCCTTACAGAGATAGCCACGAGGAAAAGGCGAGCGCCAGTATAGGTCCCTGCGGTACGCCCCAGCACGCTGGTGGAGGCACGCATTATCCTCCAAGGGAGGCGAGCAGTTGGCGCTCCTGAATACAGTAGCGTGCAAGCGTTCCCGGCCGGTGGTTTTCCTTCTTCTGTTCTCTTTAGCTCAATTCGCTTTATGCATATTCTGCAACGCTCGAAAGGGAAAGACAAAGCCTGGATAAATTACTTTACGAACCATTATAAACACAAAATGAATTATTATCAACAAAATAATTAGTACCAACAAAACAATATTAGCATTATTTACAACAAACATTATTCACAACCAAAGTTGTTAATGTTGCGTTCCTTCCTTCGAAGTAACCTTTTGCATCAGCTTCAGAGCCACCATTTCACCACTGCAACCCTACAAACGGCGATACGCTATGAATTTCATGACCGTTTCCAGAAGCACAATTCTTCATTTTTCCGCTAACTTAAAGGAAATAGTTCACTTTTTAACATGGGTTTTGAACTGGAATAGCAGTTCCGTAGCTTGGGCTGAGACGAGCATAAATCAGGAGCTTTTACAGCCCAACGATCACCCTAGGCAAAGATATTCTATTTCTCGTCCCGAAAAAGGTGTCTTGCGTTGAGGATGTGTGCCTTGCATATATTTCCATCCAGTATGAAAAGAGCATGGGTCCCGAAAATTCTTCAGAAAGTAGAGAAATTATCTACGAGAACTCTAGAGAAATTCTCGTACTGATCAATTAGGACATTCAGGGGAACATTATCAGATCGAGCAGATCGCCCAAATGCCGGTGGCTGCGATAATTTCTCTGTTTCTGAATAATTTTCGGGACCCATGCTCTTTTCATACTGGATCGCGTGTGCCTTACAGAAACTGAAAAGTTCTTCCTATATCAAAATATAGAAAATAATCTTTTGTTATAAAAAGGTTTTTGTAGTGTTAATTCGGAATTAGGAAGTTCGTGACAATTGTTGTAGTGTTAATTCGGAATTAGGAAGTTCGTGACAATTGTTATGTTGCCATGGCAACCAGATCAAGGAGCCTGACTTATTGATGTGTTGGTGATCTCTGATTGGCTAGGCCCTAGAATTCAGGGTTTTTGCCGAAGGGGATTGGTGGAGAGGGCATAAGATCGGGGATCACTGGCAGCAAGGCAGCAGTGCGGTGGGAGCAGCGAAGGGGAACGGCAGGTCGGGGAGTCCAGGGATGGAATGGTGTCGTTATTGGGGAGTTCCAGCCCTCTGTGAAGTGCGACTACTTTTGTGTTAACATCGCTTGATATTGACAATAATATCTATCTTTTATCTAACTGGCTGTGAAATCGACCACAAGCTATTTCGGCGATGTCTTGAGAAACTCCATCGAATTCTGGTACCAAACGCAGATCCAAATCTCCGCCCCCTGTTCCGGCATCACCAATTCTCACTGCCATTGTAAAGCCGATTCCTGTCGGTTCAGCATCGGCGACAGGGTGTGGATCAAGGATCCCAGGAGGCGATGCGATGTACCGAGCGCCAAGGGCACGGTGACGCAAGTGCTGTCCGCTCAATCGGTTGAAGTGGACGGCATTCCGAGACACGTCAGAGATCTGCGCCACGTCACAGACCAGGGCCCGGATCGGGCGGCCGCTCCAGCGCCGCACAGCGACCATGACGACGGGCCGCTGCTGATCTCAGTACAGCAGCGCAGAAGAGCTCTGGGAGGAGCAGAAAATGACTCAGAGCCACAGCATGGACATGTGCGGGACGCAGACGATCCAGACGAAACAGAAGTGGAAGAGGACAGTTTCGCGCAAAACGAGGACGCTCAAGCAGATAGGGACGGAGGACTGACGCAAGTAGAAAGGACTGGTCTCAATGGAACACGCACAGCGGAGCCACCACCGGCCCTGAGGAGAAGCACGAGGAGGCGGCAGACCCGAGATATATGTAGTTGTGATCAATTATGATCAGGGAGGAGTGTAGTGTTAATTCGGAATTAGGAAGTTCGTGACAATTGTTGTAGTGTTAATTCGGAATTAGGAAGTTCGTGACAATTGTTATGTTGCCATGGCAACCAGATCAAGGAGCCTGACTTATTGATGTGTTGGTGATCTCTGATTGGCTAGGCCCTAGAATTCAGGGTTTTTGCCGAAGGGGATTGGTGGAGAGGGCATAAGATCGGGGATCACTGGCAGCAAGGCAGCAGTGCGGTGGGAGCAGCGAAGGGGAACGGCAGGTCGGGGAGTCCAGGGATGGAATGGTGTCGTTATTGGGGAGTTCCAGCCCTCTGTGAAGTGCGACTACTTTTGTGTTAACATCGCTTGATATTGACAATAATATCTATCTTTTATCTAACTGGCTGTGAAATCGACCACAGTTTTATTTTCTTTGCTGATTATTTTGAACATAAAAAATCATAAATCCGTTGCAAAAAAAAAATAATTTCGTGAAAGTGAACTATTTCCTTTAAGTTAAATGAGTTGGAATGCACATGCACCACCGATGCAGACTGAAAGTCAAGCGCTCCCATAAACGGCCACTCGAGTATTGAGTCTCGGTGTTCACTGTATACATTTCCAAGTTCTGCTATTACGGGTTTGGAGAACGTCCACAGTGACCGCTGCTGAGCCATCAACACTTCAGTAGAGACGCGCCGAACGTGACCAAACTTGAAACATGAACCACCACTTCCCGCACCCGACAAAAGGGTGAGTCATGACACATTGTCATTTACTAACACTCTGCAAAGTCTGCTAGTCGACTCAGTGTTCATCGCTTCGCGCGGGTCATGACAGCGACACCTTAACCTTGCCGAGTTGGCTCCCCTCTGAGTTCTGTATTGAGCTAAAGAACCTATCGTTTCCTGTGGCACTGTGTCAATCAACATTATCGGCAACGGCCTGGCTTATTGGACACTAGACAGCGAACAGCAGCAGACCGATAATTTCAGCCAATTGGCAGAACCGGTTTGTGTTCACACACACCGGAAAGTGTGCTTGACTCAGTAAGGATATTATAATGCTGTATGTACATAAAATTCAGCATAGCACTGTTCCTGGATATCTGGTCTGGCTGGGCTACTGGTCGGTGCTGTGTTTATGTTTTCCCTGGTGCCCTGAGGCGATAACTCCAGAGCAGGTCACCCAGTGTCACCCAGTGTCACCCAGTGTCAGTTGGTGCATAGCTCGCGTGGCTCCGAGTGTCGTCACCCTTGTATGTACACTGTCCCCGCTCAGAAATATGTTTTCAAACGAATTCCGATGGAGCAAGCAATGCACAGTACATACGTACTGAGACATATTCAAGAGTCAAGACGGTCGCTCACACGCTTACAGTAAGTGGTAGCATCGAACGACGCTGGTTCTTGCTGCGAAAAAGCGAAAGTGCTAAAATAGAAATGATTGTATGCAGCTAGACGCCTGAGAAAAGGGCGACTGCAGAGGGGACGGTAACACAGGCAAAATTCAAACTGCCTATGTAGCACTACACCAGTTATGGGCCTGTATGTAGGCGCCTATTCGTGCCCTAGCTATACTATAGAGAACACCGCTGATATCAGAAGCCAACGACCTGTGTCCCGCTCCGTGTTGGCAATGCCATTAATAACCCGCCATACGACTAAAGTCACCCGGCGGCCGGTCAGTTCGGTTCGGTTAATTCGTAGTACGGCCATTATCGGTCCACCGCACATATATAACCAAACCAACTGTACAGCAATGAACGGCTAGCGTGAGAGCCGCCCATTTCCTGGACAATTCGCCAAAATCAAATGCAAATCACGGTCCATTGAATTGGTGTCGGCAGTGTGGGTCCTGCGCCACTGCACGTCACGGCTGCGCCACTGCACGTCACGGCTGCGCCACTGCACGTCACGTCTGCGCCGCAGTGGCCGCTCTGTGACGCCGCGCGGCGGCGACATATGTGCCGCAGTGCAGGGGCGCCACCAAAGCAGCTGAACGGCCGGGGGAGGCCGGCGGTGCGTGAAACACGCGGAAATAAGGGTACAGGTAGTGCACGGCGGCAGGCTGCAGGAGACGTTCAATCTTCTGAGCGCCCTAAATACGTGACATACTTCGTAGACGGCACATTTAAAAACCCAATGCGACTCATTTCGCGGCAATAGTGTACCAAAGCACCGTAGCAATGTACTCATAACATCAAACAACACAAATGCCCTTCAATCTTTCATCCACTGCAAGACTTTGCCCTTTTAAGTGTAATTTCGTCGCATGAAATCACTGGGTTTTGAAAACCGGTCCGGGAGCGGGGGAGGTCAGTCCAGGTGTTCAGAACTGCGGCGATCGCTGCTGACGGAGATCTGACGTGCTCACGACGTGTAAACAGCGGCTAGCGGACGGATTACACGAGGTTATGGCTGGTCCACCGCGATACGTTCCGGGAAGGACCACCGAAATGGCACGGACAGACTGGCTTGGAGATCGGATATGCAGATAATGGGCTAGGATCACATAGACATTCTCAAGCTTATTGGCATGGACTGTGACTTTCAATGAGGGCTAGCTGTACACATTTCAAAAAGCAGACCATTACTGCTATGGATGTGGTATTGCCTTGCATGGTATAAAATGCAGTGTAGACGCATTTTATGTGGCCCTTTTAAATTTAAATAAAAAATATTTAAACAGGTCTGTGTTATCATCATTCTAATGCCTATGCATTCGTGTCCTCATGCTCCGTTGTGTTTATCAAACTAAAGTAGGTATATTGATTATTGAAGAAATGGAATTTGAGTGTAAATTAGCTAATTCTCCTTCAAAAAAGTTGACAGCTGGATCATGTGTTTGGAGAAAACATTAAAGGGACACTCCCACCTTAACATTAGTTTTGAGTTGAGATAG